AAAAGGCAGGAGAAGATAGAAGAGGAAAGCTAGTACATTTAATTTTCGCTGCATTTCAAACCTCAGTTTGTGCCTCTGATGTGGAGAGCCTTTTATGCTGCACCAGGTCACGATTCTGGAAAAAAACCTCCGATATTATTCTTGGTTACTAACCACACTGGTTTAGAAAACAGTTTCCATGACTTGAACCAAGCCTGGTAATTGGAACCTGTTTATATTGGTCAGAAAGCTATGCTGTCTGTATTCTCGATTGTCTTTTGTTGCTGTTCCTTCTAAAATATTTCATTTTAAACACAGCTCAGTTCCAGACTTCCTATTCTGCATCTTTTTCTGGTAATGTACTGCTAGTTAGTATTATAGACTTCTGGTACACAGTATAAATTCTCTTTGATTTTTATGTGATTTAATTTAAATTTGCTTTCAAACGCCGCAGTAAGTTTTACTTCTACCAAGTTGGGTTTTTATTTCATTTTTTAGTCTTCATAAATTTTCATCTTCATCAATTTTATCTTGATTTAGTTTTTTAAAGGGTACCTGTCCTACTTTAAAAAATGTTACTCAATCACTATAGTATCATAATACTTTAAAAAAGGCTCATTCAAACTAGTTTGACTGCTGTCAAATTACTTGACTGTAGCCTCAGTTTCTTTATGTGCTAATAAAACACACAAGTATTTTGACTGCAAAAAACACCAGTAGATAGGGACCACTGCACAGGATTGGCTGAGGCAGGGAAATTTCTGTACCTATCGTATGTCCTCCAGTTAACCTCTATTTAATCCATTGTCCAGCTACTGATTTAGCAGCAATCTTTGCTATCATGCTGTGAAGAGTGCTATAACATTTCAAATCAATATAATACAATTGGCTGCATATAAATGTGTGTGGCCTCAGCAAAAACTGAAATATGGCAATACTCAACACTGTTTACAGTACATACTCAAAACATACCAGCTACTGTGAAAAAAACCAACTATATCCTAGCCAACAGCAGCATAGATGGCAATTCTGCAAATAGATCTCCTGTTTCCTCAGGTTGACACAAGCTCTTTTATGTACACGGCACAGCTATTTTATACCCTTCCTCCAAATGAAAATAGTCTTATTTTAAAATTGTCTCCAGCTGAATAGGATACGCATCTCTGGATCTAGTCTGGAGGTAAAATGAATGAGCAGGTTCCAGGCAGCTACAGGGATTCTTTTTAAAGCCTCCAGAGAAATTCTGTCTTAGTGAAATGGAGCATTGCAGAGCATCATCTGAGAACCATGGCTTTGTCTCAACAGTTTCCATACTGGCTTCAGAGAGTTTATGTAGCAAGTGTTATTAGCACTCCTCTCTAAAAGTCACTTGAGGGGGTCTGTCATCGATCTTAATAATGCCATCAGCATTCTAGCAGATGGTAGACATGATTCTATGCACTCCCATTGCACCAGAATGGATTCTCACCATAATTTTATTTACAGATGAGAAATGTATCAGAAAGAGGCTTGTCTCATGCTTGTATTTCCAAAGATTTTTTCCAGACAGGACAATATTGTACTGTTTTATCTTTTTATTCTCTTTTCTCTATTTCACTGTGATTGAGAGATTTACAGATATTATCAACTTGCTTGGCACAAGAATTAGCCTCAAATAATTTCTGTGTACTCTCCAGCAAAGCAGTGTCTTGTTTTGAATTAGAATTTAAGATGCCAATTTTTTGTAGCCAGTGTAAACGTTAGTAAATGTTAGAAGTCAGTTCTGCAAAGTGCAACCTGAATTGCCATTGAAACAATTATTTGAATAGCAATCCTACCTTAAAATTAAAACCCAAGTAAAATGTATTAACAGATCGAGATTTTATGTAACTTTAAAGCAACAGATATGATTTGTAAACACTTTTCCTACTGCTCCACTCATTTCCTACCTCCTCAGACAATTATGGATTTATTATTTTCCTTTCAATTTACGCTTTTATATTTTCTCTTTGGGCCTATTTCTTCTACCCCTCTTTGTCCTTTCTTACACATTCATCCTTTTAGTAGACATCACATACAAAATGAAAGTTAGGTGGTAGACAGCTTTCCTTTAGGTAGCACATGTAATGAATGCAGTTAACACACACAGGTGAGGATGTGCATCTTTTGAATACATTTAAAGATGTCCTCTAAAAAATATTGAACACATTGAACATTAACAGTAGATCTGACAATCTACTTTATGTGCTGAATGCAAATTCTTCCTGCAATTCACAGCAGTTCTACATATACAGAAAAGGTAGTAGCAATTTGGTAAATAGTTTTCCTCTATTTAAAACTTCATGTGTTCTGGCTTACTGACTTTTAGATTAGTGCAGAACTGGATAGCAAGTGGAAAATTCACTATCTAAATGAAGCATAGCCACTCAGCAGTCCAGCGAAATTGGAATCTTTACTGTTGGCATTTCTAACTGTAATGATTGGCTATTCCTTGAAATTTGGCACTCCAGTGCTTTATTCTTTTCATCATGTCTAGAGTATGAGATCAGAGTATAAAAATAGCTTCTTGTGTCACCATTTTCTGAGAAGTACATGCAAAAATAGAATATAATATCAGAGGCAGTACAAAAACTTAAGTAATTACATGACTGGAAGATACCTGAGTATGGACAGACTTCAACAATTTATATCCAACAAAAATGAAATAGTATAAATGCTTTTAACAGAGTGCTCAACAGAACAGTTTATGTCCCAGTTAAATACCTGATCCCACCAAGAATACATGTATAGTTACAAAAGCTTGATATGAACTGAATGCTGCATTAATCAGAAAGAAAAAAAATATCTTTTCCTTCCCATTTGGCAAGTTTTGCAAGAGTTGCATGTATTAGCCTCTAATTAAGCACCTCTTGGCACTACCTCAGTGCCTTTTTAAATGTTAATTCTATCCTTATTACGAAGATGTCTTTGACATTCACTGTCATTAGGTTATCTGCGTAGATACCCCGGTAGAAAAGAATGCAAATTAAATTTATCCTGATTAAATTGAGTTTATGGTAATCCTAACACTCTTCAATAACTTTTTCACAGTAGGAAATACCATTTCCTGAGAATAATCTGAGCTCTAGCACTGCAGCTGGAGCCATCATGCAAGAAAATCATCACCCCAAAGCCCTCACTAAGACAGGGATGCTCTTTGCAAAATGGGGCTACAGCAGCTTGAGACTGAAAGTATCTTGTGCTATAGTAGCCCACATCTTAGAAGTCGCTCCATAAGAGAATTTACATGAACACCTCTTCAGTAGGGCCGATATTCCTGTAATTCATATTAAAAATGGTCCAAAAAGATGCATTAATTTTTTTCTAAATTCTTAGTAAAATTCATGTGTAAAATACTAAGTTATTTAAATTTTATAGGTAATGGAATTTCTACCACAGAGATGTAAATTTGAAAAGACATCATGGAAACATGCTACAAGTTAATAAAATTTGTAAGAGTCAAGAAAAATATAAATCAACTTTATATTGGTCCCTGGTTTGCAAGAACAAGTGTAAGAAACAGTAAATTCTGAACTTTTTAGCTATTACTGGTATCTACAGGAAAAAAAGTAATAGAAATTACAAAAAAAACCCAAAAAACCCCAACAACAACAACAACAAAAACCCACACCAAAAAAACACCAAAAAAACAACGTAGACTAGTTTGTTCTCAACTATGCCAATGGTAATTGATAACACAGTATATTTTGAGTTCTCCATTTTGTTCCTAATACTGTAGAAGTTAGAACATAATTAAAATGATTCTCTGGTGTTCACTTAGGAAAGCACACACAATGCTGGGGCAAGATGATCCTGAGGCTGTTCTCACGTATGCCAGGTACCGGCTGCCTGCAGTACCTGGAGGAGACAAACATGATCTAACAACATGCACAGCTGCATTTTCTTTTAATTTCTTCTCTCCCTCCCCATCCCTCCTTTCTCCTCTGCAGAGCCATTTCTGCATCACGGATTGTCCATAAGACAATAACGGTCAGCTCTTGAGTGGTTTTAAACCAAAATACCATAATTAAGACTAGGCTGTAACTGCAACTTGCAACCAACTCTGAAAAAGAGCACAAAATTAAGAGCATTTTTAAGCCACTGCTCTTCCCACACAAAATACCCTATTCCTTTCAGCCACCTGGTACCCCCGGCACACATCATTCCTCTCAGCACACCCACATTCTGGCCAAGCTCTCTCTCCTACCTGTGCTGCAACTGCCCACCATTACTGCTGTGTACTGCCACTCAGCCTGGTCGCAGAGCTTGTCTCACTGGCACTGAGCCACTGGGGCACTTCTGACTGCCTGAGAGTACTGACAGACTAATGAGGCAAGAGCATGGAAGTGTCATGGAGCTTCTTACACGAAGAATGTGTAATATCTAAGCCTAAAAGCAGTTAGATACGAGTTACTTCCTTGCAAAAAAAAAACCAACAAAAACACTATTTTTGCTACTGCAGCAGTTTCAGTTAGTAACATAAGAGCTGTAGATGAGATTTTACAGCCATTGTGTCCAACTTCATACTGAGTAGCACATTGCATGGGAGGAAGGAGAAGCACCCCAAAACACAAACTGCAACACATTAAAGCCTTGGTTAGCAATAATTTACCTATTTTGCCTTGAAGGGCTGAGGCCACAGAATGATTATGAGATGCTAATGATATTATGTAAATTAACTGTATGGAATACTAACCTGCTACTGTGATAATATAAATTCAGTTGATAAGTCACAGCAGAATTGAAAATCAAATTTCTGAAGTGCAAATGCTCATGTACATCTGATTTCCAAGACATCATTTGCTGTTTTTACATATTCTTATGTAGTGATAAATGAAGTTAAAAAAATTCCCTCTCTCAACTTCTCTGTGCACAGAAAGTGTTTAAAAGAGCAACTGGTGCTCAATCCACTGGCTCTCTGTACACTCCCTGTGCCACAAAACCCACAACTCTTTCTTATTAATAACTTGTTATGCTATCTTGCTCTTGATGTCTTCTAACAGGAAACAGAAAGTGAGAGGAATTCACTTTCATCACCATTGAAGAGTCAGCCTGGGAACCATTCTGCCATCTCTCAGGAGGAGTCTAGCGTGAAAAGAGGGAGAGCAATCTTTGAAAAGATGTCATCAGAAAATGGCCATAGCAACAGCTCTGAAGGTTAGCATTGCCACATTGACCTGATACCTTGCTTTAAGGCAGTGGTCTCCAAACCTTTTTGATGGTTACCTCTACCATTAAAATATTTATGAGTACGCCCTCGCAAGGTTTGTATATTTATTTACAAATCATGTTTCTGCACTATTCTACTAGTACAACCTTAGACAACATACACCAAAAAAAAAGTTAAAGTAGGATGGATGAAAAAAAATAGTTGAAAAGTGTTTATTCACAAAAAAACCCTAGATTCCTGCATCCCAAAGGACTGTCTTGCACAGCCCCTGGGGTGCACATACTCCGCTTTGGAGACCAATGCTTGACCATATCAAAAAGTGCCTATATCTGTGCTTTGGTTTGTTTTAACAGAGAAAGAATATGCATGATCAAATTTTCTGATTGAAAACCACTTATTGACTTGTGAGTGTCTAGAACTTGACATTATATAAAATAACAGATTACTCAGATAAATAGCATTTAAAGACTTGTCCAGTCTTCCAATAAAATTAATAAGCCTTCTACATCATATGAAACAATTACTGACTACACTCTTTTTTTTATCAGAAAATGTTTAGACTGCATATTTATCTATTTCAGACTCTAGAAATTTAAATGGAAATTTGAATGCATGAGACCTTTTCTAGCTAATGCTGCTAAGTCTATTAAGCTCATTGTTCAAACTACAGACCTGCTCTTTTAACAAGTTTAACTTTCAGCCATTGGTTATCTTTTCCTTTTTTCCCCTACCAAATTAAAGAGACCTTTAAAACCTGCTCATTTCTTCCTTGAAGGATAATTATATATTATGACCATATCACTCCACAACTATCTAACACTAACTAGACAGAGATACAGTTCTCTCTGTGGCAGTATTTTTTGTGCTTCTTCTCTGCATCTTCTGAAGTTTTTCAGATATCTTTGGATTTAAAGATTATTTTGGGGTGTTTCCTCATTCTCCTTTTAGAGATTTCTAGTACAAAACCTTTTTTTTTCCTCTCTGACTACAAAACAGAATCCTCCACTCCATATCCACTCTACCTCTGAGTCTAAATACAGCACTTCATGGTTCAGAAGCATTTTTTGATCCACCAGGAATAACAAAGAATATGATTTATGCAAAAATGCACAGTCAACAATTCATACCTCTTACACATGAAGCTTTTTTCAAAAATGTGACACATCCATAGGGGATAATGTTTTTCTATGTTCCTGTGAGAGCCATAATATCCCATTTTGCATGCAGACAGTCTTAGGAAAATTAAATTCCCTAAAGACTCATTTTAGTTTGAAACCACTGGTGAAAACCCTTAAACTTCTAATAGCTGAAGTCAGGCATTGAAATCTGCAACTCTGCACTTGAATAAACAGTCAGGTCCTGAAAAAAAATAAGATAATGCTGATCCATAGATTATTTCTCCCATCACCATGAGATTTCTGTTTTTTATAACCAATATGAATATATACCAACTTGCTTCAATTTTTCAGCAAGAACAACACCCTCAAAGCACTAAAGTGCTATGGAAGCTTTTCCAAAATGTTCCAGTTAGGCCAAAATCTTGTTTTCCTAGAAAAGGAAAAATTGAGCAAAATTTACTGCAAACTCTATGACTTGAGTATCAGCAACCAACAACTTCTGTTGTCTCCACTGAAAAACAATGAAGTATTGCTGTTCAACCTACCATGAAAACCTGGAGAAGACATACTGGGTAGCTATGCAGGCATATTGTTGGAGAAAAAAATGGCAAAAAGCCAGATTCTCAAGTTCTATTATGCACAAATAATTTTTCAAGCTTAGTTTACTTTATAGAATTAATGTAACTCACGACTAATAAAAAAATTAAATTTTCTGAAAGAGATACTATTGTACAAGTCTCATATGACAAAGGGAAACAGATTTTGTTGGCATAGCTCAGCTTGATCAGGCTCTTATTAGTTCATTTTAAAACATACATTTATCTCTGAAAGAATCAGAATGTATTACACCTTCAAGTTCTCTTGAATGAGAAAAGCTTACAGCAAAATGAATGAGCAGAAGTTTAGATCATATAATCTCTTATACCATTACAAAGAATTTTACATTATGTTATAAACCAACTAGCTTCTTAAGACAAAAAAATTCTATTTAAAGGTTTTAAAGCTAACAAGAGAATAGTTTCTATTACTTTCACTCCCCAGGTGGTTAATAATATGTATCTATTAAAATGTTTTTTAAAAGAGTCCATTAAATTCATTGGCCCCATATCAGCAAGGAATTAAACCATGTCTAACTTCACGCACATGAGCATTCCCATTGCACTTAATGAAAGCATTCTTATGACTATGTACAATCCAAAAAATCCCTTGTTGAACCAAAATACCAAGAAAGATTTTTAACTCCTAAATATTCTTAAGAATTAAAGCAATGGCTTAAAAATTTCATTCTGGTGTGTTATATAATTCAGTCTGCCTTTAAAAATGAACTGACACTCTTTGGCTTTGGTGGAATATTCCTCTGTGTTTCCAAAGTGTCCTTTAAAATTTTCCATGGTTTTGGTTAGCTTTGGTTTAATGCAAAATGACTTCTTATTTGAAAAACAGCAGTTTTCTCTCTCTTCTGATTTCTACTTTCCCTAAAAATCTTTCTTTTACTTTCAGCTGATTTTCATTGACTCTTTCATTGCTGCTATTATTATTTCTTGAACTGTACAATTATTTTGTCTATCATGATAACATGAAATATGCAAAATTACTGCATGGGATAAGCATAATAGGAAAGAAAATTATCCTTGTGTAAGTTATGAGTAGGGTCATGTAAAAATACTAAAAAGACTGAGTATATTTACACTGAGATCACTCTTCTATGCATGCCTGCATCTGATTTTTACTGAAGATAAGAATTACTTCTTATATTTTCTTGCTAAATCTGAACCTTGAACACTTATGCCAGCTTAATAGTTTTAGAGGGAACAGGTAGAAAGGCCAGGTAGCCTTTGAAATCTTCCCTGTTTGGTGGGATATCCTTTCCCTGGCAATATGTTCTTTGCCGGCTGAACAGACAACTGTTCAAAACTTACTTTTTTTTGTTGTTGTTGTTGCATTTCTCTTACCACAGACAAGAGAGATGACCATGGTATACTTTTTCCACGTGTCTAAAAGAAGGAAAAATACCTTTACACTAAATTTAGGGCACTTTTTGGAGTATAAGGAATTCTTTTGACACAGTCAAATGAGTGCAGAAAGCAGCAGCAGAACCTCCTAGTGCTAGTAACTCAGAGCTGCTTTTTCAGGAGTCCTCCAAGCTGTTGTCTCCACATGCACTGTAGATGAATTGCAAATACTTCAGGATAAATCTATAACCTCTTCACACCTTGAATCAAGGTTAAAATATAGTGAGCAATGGAGATAATTTTCTACAAGTTTTTAGTAACACTACATACCCTAATGTAAGATCAGTAAACAACTGAAATCTACAATAGACTCAGAACAGACTGTGGTCAAATTAATACTATAAAGCCTAAGGCTAATTAGAACATAAGATATTTAATTAGAACAGATTATTTGTAGTACTTAAAATTACTTTTTACAGTATAAATAATGCAAATATAACACCATCAGAAAAATACTATGCTTATTGTTTAAATTTAATAATTTTTAAATTAAAAAGCTTATTGTTTTTAGCCAAGAAATTTCCCCCACTCTGAAAAGTTTCATTGACTTAAATTTTTCTCTACTCTCTAAGCTCTAAATTGAAAATAAGATAAACTTGTGAAAAAATTGATGTTACTTCTTCTTTCTACTACTGCTTTTATTTCAAGATTTAGAAAAGATGTAGCTATTTTCCTCTTAGAAAATATCATGTCTGTTTGTACTTACAGTGGAGTCTCGCAAACTTGTAAGAGGACTATCTAAAGAGAGCACTTCCAGGGCTGATAACACACTGCTGGATTTCCAGGAGACTGTCTCCTTTAAAGAAAGAATGGCTATGTACAAGGCTGCAGTGTCCTTTGCCCATGTAAGATATCAATGGTTTCTTACCTTCCTACCTCTCCATTTGCTTTGCACAGTGACATATCCTGCATTCTTTATTTATCCAAGCTGACTGATGGACCATTATGAGGATCAAAATTTGACATTAAATTAACAATTAAATTAACAACCCTACTTAGCAAACTTATTGATGCATCAGTCTATCTCTGCTGAGAGAGATTTCTCATGCTATAAAGCTTTGGTCATCTGGACAATTCCCTTTAACTCGTTAAAGGGACTGGGCTTCTCTTTCACTGTTGCATGAGCTGCATTTATTAGGGCCACAGGGTTGTGATATATTAAGACAGCAGCTTCTGCATTACTAAAATTATTACTAAATAATAAAATCATATTCAAAAGCACATTAAGTTTAGACCTATTGCTGTTCAAACTGAAGACTTTGAAATTGCTGCATTTTAAAATAGTAGCTCTATGAGACAAGGTGTATGAAAAAGTATTGTTTTGTAATAAAATTATTTAAAATTTGCGTTATATAAAAGAGTAGTTAGGAAAAAAAAACTTCATTTTGTTTTATGTCTCCCTCTACATGTCTATCAACAGGATTAAGTATTTTACTGCAAATTTTAAAGTATTGATACCAAGTAGCACATAATGTATTTGGTTAACATAATTTATAAACTAGTAAAATAAACCTCCTTACCACACACTGAATTATCAGTCAGGAATATCTGAAAACTGTGTCTTTAAATCTCAGCCAGGAAAACCTTCCAGAGTTCTGCAGAAACACTAAGGGTTAAAAAGTGTGTTTTTACCATATCTTAAAATCCCAGCTAGAAGTTGCAGCTCAGATCCCCTGTATAAGGAAAGGAAAGCATTATGGGGACTTGCTCTAATGTGAGAATGACAATGGTCTTAGTTTACACTAAACTTTCAGCACATGGAAAGAACACCTTTTACTCACTGCTAACTAGGCCAGAGTAATTTCTGTAAATCAGAGACCATATCTGGCAAGAGAAGGACTACAATTCAGCTATCACCAGACATCATCCATATGCAAGTACAGCTGTAGAAGGATTCCCAGTCTCACCTGCACTTTAGTCTTGGGAAAAGGGTTTGCATTGCCTGAAGGGACCTTCTGGGTGCATGGATAATCCAGAAACCACAAAGTGAAAACAGCCACGAGAACCCAGGTGTTTTCCAGCCCTCAAATTCCTGCCTGCTGACTTCCATATTTCCCAACTGCTTGGCATATATTTGGGGCATAGTCCTACATTTCATCTGTCTGAGAAGGTCCCAATTCCCTAGACCAGCAACTGGAAACTTTGCTGAAGTTAGTACTTTCTCTCACAATGAAAAGAACTGCATGAAGCCTGACCCAATCTAGCTGTGTTGAGCACACAGGAACTATTTCATTTATACGCAGAAAAGTCTTGCAATTTCTTGCTGAAACGGATGGTTGCCTGAAAGAAGCAACTTTAAATTTGGACCCACTAAAGGGAATTACTACATTTCATTAGGGGACCCATAACTGCATTTATCTGCTCAAAATATCTCCAAATGGCTGTTAAGGTGTGCCTGAAATGTTCATTCATTATTATGTAATAAAAAGTAGCAATTACTTTCAGCATTCACATATCCATGCACATATACAATCATGTAGCCTTCATCACAGGGAAAAAAAAACCAACCTGTTTTTTTTATGATCTGCTTACTTACTCATATAAAAGTAGAAAATATAACTTTACTTAGTAGCTTCATGACAAATGTATTCCTAATTTTTGGGTGGGGTTTTTTCTGCATAGTGATTAATAAATTAAAATGCTGAAAGTTTCATCCAATACCATCTAAAAAGTAATACATAAAGGACAGAACTAGAACAGGAAGCCTGAGGATAAGTGCCCTCTTGTGACCTTCATTGCTGTTGTTGGGGAAGGCAGATCATGTCACAAAGGCCTGCTTGAAGCTCTCTGCATGTTTTTCAACAATACCCACTGGAAACACAGAGAGGACCAGGTGGCAACTCTGAATGCCACAGAATTCAGAAGAGACAAGTAGAAGAGGGAACAGCAGAAGGATTGTTCTGGAAAGTGGTTGTTTCTGCCAATCAAGCAGATGGGACTTACTTCTTTCGGTGCTCAAGATTCAGGCCAAGCAAAACTTTGTCTAAATCATCAAATATGGCTACTGTGCAGCGGTCTGTGAACTTGCCAAAAAGAGTATTCACAATTGTCTGAGTCATTCCTGCATACTGCTGTTAACTAGTTTAAAAAAAAAAAAGAAAAAAAAGTCACGAAAATATGTTTTTAGCACAAATAGAAAACAACTGGTCTTATTTTTTCACTCCAGAGTTCACAGAAGAGCAAGTTCTGTACTGTGCCTGGTGGCCTGGCAGCAGTGAGGAAACAATTCGAGAAAGTGCAAAGGATGTCTCCAAAAAAGACCTTTGTTCAGTATCAGCACCAGCATAGATCTCTACAGGTAACAATAGCATTTTAATACTAACAAATTATGTATACCCTGCTAGATAACTGAGGAGAAAATATGATTGCTTGCTTCACTGACGAGTTTTCATTATGGCTAAAACAACATTTCTCTAATGTTCATACGCATAGAATTTTATATTTGAGATGTACCACGGGATTAATATATTTTTTATGCTGATGAACGCTCACTATAGACTAGACTCAACTAGACTTAGATTGAGTAATGCATATTATTTCTACAGCACTATTTTACACTGAAACCTGTCTATAAGACTGTGATTTATACATTATCATGTGTCATGGTGATATTTTGCATTTACTGCACTTGATATTAAGTCATTCTCTTTCAAGAGGAATTTCCTGCTTCCACTGAATTAAATCTAATAAATTTCCCTAAACAGATCAAAAATTGCACAGATGAACCCAGACATTATATGAACGTAGAACAAAAAGCAGCTAAGTGTAACTTCAGATAAAAGACCTTCACATTTCATTGCTTCATTAGTCTATACCATGAAAAATTGTTGCAGAAGATAATGATTTTGGACTATGTGAAATTCCCTGCAATAAAACACTGTACAATCTGTCCTGTGCACTCTGAAAAACAGTAAATTTCCTTACCATCCTGCACTTCCTGGAGAGATTTTTAAGCAATATTGTTCTCCCAGCTTTGTAGAAAAAGACACAATAACATTTTGTCATAGGTTTATTCTAATGTTAAATAAATATCATCATATCTACCACTCATCTCTCATTTCTTATACATTAATACCTATATCAACAATTTGTACAGACAAGCAAAACTTCAGTTTGTAGGGAAGAAGACAGTTTGCTGCAGGGGTATTAATGTATCTTTAAGTAAGCAGAAAAATGCCATAGTGAGACATACTAACACTGGTGCATAATCTGTGGTAATAGGAAGTGTTATGTACCTACTTTTCTGATTATATGACCCACTTTACCTGCCAGTTTTCTGGGCGAAGAAATAAAGAATCCTGTACAGAAATTACGTGAGTTTTCTCTTACACAGAACCCAATAACTTCATGTCTGTGATGTGTAGATGCATTTTCCCAGGACATCCATCTTTCCACAAAGCCACTATAATAGTTCCATTTCTTCAGTCAAGATGTGACCTCAAAACATATTTGTCCATGTATTTTTCCTCTGTGGCTAGTTGAGGAGGCTCTGTCAAATCATCAGCAAAAATAGCCACATACACTGAAAAATGAAATCACTCAGACCATATGGAACCATCTTTAAATTTAGGTTAAATAACTTGCTGAAAGATCATAAAATCCCATTTCTATGTAACATAACTGCACTTTCATGGAAAATGGGATTATACACTTAAGTAGTTGAAAGATTATTCAAGGTCACTGAATCCATCCTGGGGCAAAACAGAGAAAACACATAGTTCGAAGACAGATGTCTAGATCTGGATAAATTCAAACTATTAATCTAAGATAAAATAAAGGATGCAATTAAATTTTTAAATAATAATCTAAATAGCTGAACATTCTACTGCATATTCCGTTATTGTATAAGGAGTTCATGACTTTCATTCAAAATATTGTCATCAAATATGCAAATAATAACTATTCATCTTCCCATTTTTCTCAGGCAGCAGCCATCATTCTTAGCTCTCTAGATTGTACTGGCAATTGGTTCCTTGTAATAGGTGCCATTATACCAGTAGAGTTCAATAATTTCATGCCACGTGAATGGTGAGCAGCAATGAAAACTGATCACAGACTTATCCTGTGCTCAAAAACTCAACCAGAGTCTGATTAGAGAGCTGGTCTGGGTTCTGACCACTGGCACCATAAGCACTTTCTAGCATCAGCCACCAGGATGAGAAGAGGCCACGAGCTTTGGTGTTACACCTGTGCAGGTGCCAGCCTGGAGTGCTTTGGTACCCAGCTCAGCTACCTGACTGCCCAGGCACAGCCTCAGTACCCAGTGTCAGAAAGGAGCCATGGCTGGCAAGTGAGCTGAACCTCCAGCACAGCAAAGGAGTGACATACAGAGAAAACATATGATGTTCACTCAACCTTATAGTAAAGAATGTCAGAACTGACACGGGCATAGCTACACCTCCTTCACTGAGGGTCATTCCAGAGGAATTTCCTAAGATGGCTACTGCAGCAATTGTCAATTTTCTAGCAATTGCAGAGAATAAGATTGAATAATGGGACAATGTCAGTGAATGGGGAAAACCTTATATTTTTATTAAAAACTTTCATATAGTGCCCAAGACACCCCAAGTATATACATATAAATAAGCAAGGCTGACAAATCATAGGGAAGAAGTGTAGATAAGTGAAGTTCTTATGAGTAATTTCTGCCAGACTCTCACAGTGCAGTGAGACTCTGCTAAGAACATAAATAGGTAAAAAAAGCATTGCTTTGGGGATGAAATGAAGATCCATGGCAAATAGTCATTACATCGTCACTAACTTTGAAACTGAAGATTCAGGTTCAGAAATCAGTGGATTTACTTCCACTGCTGCTTACAAGTTTGTACATACTGTTCATTTAGAACAGAAAGTTCTCTATTTGCCAATACATAAACAATATTACATTATCCAGCTTCTGAGAGATTGTATGTTGATCATAATGTACAGTTCAACTAAACACATTATGCATCAATTGTGAGATAGCAGAAGTCTTTCTCATGCTTGGATGAACTTCTGAGCCATTTGATCCCCTTGAAACACATACTTCCATAGACAGAGAACTGTATACACATTTTATGCATGTATACATATAATGTAGTGTACATCTTCTGGGCTGAAAAACAATTCTATTTTTGAAAGAGAAAGTATACTTTGTTTGTTATTAGAAGGAAACTAAAAATGTCAACACAAAAAAGCAAACTTTGGTCTAAATTACACAGAACAATTACTGATAATTCAAATCTTGGCACATTTTCAATAAGAATTCTATCTAAATTATTGCAGTACAGAAGTGCTAAAGTTTTTGTATGGGCCACAAACATAAAATGTGTGTAGCAATTACAGTTCTCTTCAGTAAAAGAATCTGAATGTTTACATAAAAAGAACACTTCTCTAACAAAACTTATACAGACTTACTCTTGGACTTACATGTTTATTTTTAAATAGCAGTTTTAGGTTAGAATGACTTATTACCCAGAGACACAACAGTACACTCTAGTGCTCTGTGTTAAACACATACAGATATGCACGGGAAGGCCAGCAGCCCACACAAAGGGTGACGGGAAACAAATGTGAGAGACAGGATAAAGAAGGATAAAGAAGTATGAAAGAAAATGTAAAAATTTTATGAAACCATTCACAAGAGAGCAGCATGCCAACAATCACCCAGCTGACAGTGTTTTCTGAACCCTTCTCATGACATGCCATAAACAAAATGTAATTGACCAATTTTATAGAATATACTACAAAGTCTATGGGATCTACAAAACATGTCACAAACCATAATGGGGTAGACTAAATTAATTGTACCTACAGTAATCCTGTATACAACAGCTGGCAGTTATAGAGGAGGGATGAAACCAAAGGTCCTCTAACTATCCATTTGTTTGGAGTAATAAACAAGCAGCATTTAACAACCTGTTACTGGAATTTCAATTAGCCATTTTGACTGACACACAAAATAAGAGATCCTCCATGTCCCTCTTCCTCCCAGCATTCCCAGAGCAAGGCTGTGTAATTATGTCGTCAAAATCTGGCTCATAATGTTTGGGCTGCATTTTAGATGGCCTATAGCTATAGCATTAAATTATTATGGTCTTTTGCAATATGGCAACTACTTCATAAGCAGTACCAAAGTTACAGCATAAAGCACTAGTGACATTCAGATTAGATTTGCTTCCTGACTACATTAAGTCTAATTATATTTCTTTTTAATACCCCACACCATTCAAAGGACACATGATGAGTATTCTGAATATATTTCATGTCTCATGAATGAGCTTTTCCAGTAATGAGAGCTTGAATTACATATCTAAAACATGCACATTAGAACAGAAAAGCATATCTTAAATGAAAAAAGCATATATATGCATAAATATATTAAAAAGCACACCCATATAGAAGGAAAAGGCATATTAGACGCACACCTACACAGTCATTAAACAGAGAATAGATGGAAAAATTTGCACTTCATTCTTTTTGAACTGCCTCTTTTCAACCTGGTATGTGGTTAGCTCTACATCTCCTCAAATGTTGTGCAGCTTCCTTACAACTGTTATGTACACAGAACCAGCAAGTACAAAACAGGACATCCTGTAAAAGCAGGACAAAAATGCTGTGAACTGCTCTTCTCAAGCCTCAATGCACTCTGACAATTCAGATAGGATTGATTTTGATACTGGTAATGCACTAAATCGTTTACTGGGCCAGGAATAAGAAAATTTATTCCACCTTTTGTTAGTACAGTTTTAATTCATCTTATAGCTGAAACAGGACTTGGCAGCACAGAGGTGGAAAAGAATTCCTAAAGCCCATGGAGGGAATGCTCAGTGTTTCTCTGTCATAGATCTAAGAACCCTTGCTCCCTACTGCATGGCCAGGCAGTAGATGACCCCTGTACTGATTCAGCAGAAATATTAGTGGAGATGCAAGCGGTGTAAGCATTCCTTAGTTTGAAGGTGGAATAAATCCCATAAATACATGCTTTCTCATGGCATGACTAACAAAAAGAACTAATTTCTTGCCCCACAATTAACTGAATTTCAAGTAGCAGTCAGGACTTGAGATGCAGGAAGCTTACAGCTCTATGTTGCACTAGATGTACAGCAGCAATCTCAGAAAGACAGTAGTGCCTCCATTCATATTCAGGTTTCACTGAACACTCAGGAAGCTCTCGCTGGAGGGACCAGAAGCTCCTTCCATTTGAAAACTTATTATCAGTAGAAACTAATAGACAAGCTTCCTTCTAACAAAGGATGAAGAAAATATAATTTGACATGAGTGAAATTATTTGTTAGATGGCTCTGTGTGCATGGGAGAGGAAGCACAGGAGTGCTGCCTTAATAATTTCAGTCTTTCAGATTTATATCTTCTAATCACAAAGTCGCAAAGTACCTCATGGACACTGGTAATGATGTAATACAGGTTCGATGGCAGGCTTCAAATAAGAAAACAAACAACTGTCAGAATCCGAAGCCAAGCCAAACACAGATAGACTGAGAAATCAGTTTACACAGACATCTTGGACAGTGCTTTAAACTCCTGAAGATACACTCTGATTATTACACTGCAGTTTTCTGGTCTGTAGTTACAGTACTACCCTGCATATTTTATGGGATCTTGTGGCTATTCTGTGGGTCATATTTTTCACAATTGCAATTCAGCATGATTTTTGCATTGGAAGAACTTTATAAAGTATATGTAGAGAGTCATCACCTCATACAGACATATTACACTTCCTTTCAAAAAAATGCATTATGCAGCATTATGCCCACTGCCATGCAACAAGTTGGAGGCACAGCACATAAAGCCAGAACAAGTCCTCCTTGTCACATCTGCCTCCTTCCAGTCCAGTCATGCATTGTATCTACTCATGCAGCTGGCCATATCTGCTGGCAAGCATCTTGCTGCAGTAACAAAGACTTGACATCTTCTGTGTTGTAAAAAAGCTGGTTCCAATGTTGATAGCAATAAATATCAAAGATAATAACAATGGCACCCTGCTGTGAAATGGCTGCTCTAGTTATACCACTTACATTAGAATTAATTTCTGACAGCCCTTCAGGAAAAAAAAAAAAAAAAAATTAGTAAATATTATTTACTAATAGCTGTTAACGTGAATTTTTTTGTTTTGTCTCGAGGAAACATCAAGTATCAGGCACCACACAGTATCAAGTAGCACCAGGGAAGCTGAATGCAATGAAATGACCTCCAAAGAAAGCCAAACAGAAGCCTCTCAAACAAAAGAGGTAATTATATAATTTAATAATAATCTCATTGGACACTTATTGGTTTATCATGATAATTTTTAGATTTACATTCATATTTTTCATCTATGTAATATTTTAAATATGGTTTCAGAAGTATTTTAAATTCTTATGCATTGCACTAAATCATGACTAAAGTGAAGGTTTTGTGCACAGGTTTCTCCTCATGAGCAAGTTACCCATGAAAAGAAAATGGCATCTACATTCACTCAGCATGAAACAGGTAAGAAGCGGCATGAGAATAATCACAAATGAGCAGTGGGAAATGTCTTTACACCCACAAACGTACTGTTCTTAGCATACAAACATGAAAACACACACTGTTCCAAATTCTCAGCAATGCACATTCCTTAACTTCAACAGGACTTAAGTTTAGAATTCAGCATGAAGAGATTATGTTTGCATAAGGATGTGGTTTTAAATATGGTCTGAGTTGCTTGAAAGAATGAGGAACTCGACAACTTGCCTGAAAATACAGGCAAACACTAGTCCATCTACGTACAAAGCAGTACGTGGTTAAGGTTCAGTTTGTAGCTGAACTGAATAACCCTGCAGAATATGATCACAGTGTTAAGACACTGCTGCTTATGCAATTTAGCCCTTGAATGAGAATTCATGCATTATATTCTCCCACAGACCTCAGTCACCCTTTGGCCCTGCCCCACCACTCAGGTATGGCAAAACAGCAGTCCTTAAAAAATTATTCTGTCATTTTCTCTACAGATTTCTGTACTGATCAAGTAACTCTCCTGACTTCTACAAGGCTAAATACAATTTTCCCAAGATAATAATGTTTTATAATTCACTGATAAAGTCAATTTCATAAAATGCAGGTTGGAGGAAAACCAATCTGTTTTATTCTTCTTCCCATTGCAGTAATCAATTCAGCTCAGAATGAAGAGCTCCCAAAGACTGTAACACAGATTTTAAAAGAACAGATTGAGAAGGCAGCTCAGGAAAAGGCTGCTCACTCTGACAGAGAGATCACAACATCCGCTAAAGAAGTAAAGGTCAGTATTTTTGATGAAGGGATCTTTCCTTATGCAAATTAGAAGTTAAGACTGGTTTACCATGCTGTCTGATTTTCTATATTGAATAATTATGATTTAAAATGTAACATATAGAAGTGGTGGGAATATATGACTTCAGGAATTAAGTGCACATAATGTAATACGATATTCATTAGAAGGCTCTATAAGTACTTACAGTATGTGACAAAAACAATTCAAGGTAACAACTTCTGCATTTTCCCCTCCTCTGCTGAATAGTCTCCTCTTTACTTGTTTTTATCTATAAGTATGTATAATTTGTCACCAAAGACTCTCAGAAGCCTGGAAAATACTACTTTCAAAAGAAATGAAAATGGACATAAGCTACAGCTAAAGTTTGTTATGCTTACAGTGCAAAGTCTGCATTTGTTGCAGCAAAATCTCCAACCTGCTCATTCTTTTTGCATGAATTTCACATTTCTTTTCACATATATTCTATGGTGCAAATATCACAGCTCTTAGCTCGAAAGATTGGTTTTATGCATTCTGAGCAATAGGTGATAGATTGTGTCTTTCCAGATCTTATTATAATCCTATTGCTTGGATGCTTGCAGAACTAGCTTTTGTGCAGAATAGAAAAATCGTTTTCTATATTACTATGCTTAAGAAAAGAAGGGGAAAAAAAAGAAGAAAAAACAACCATAAACTACAGACAACCCAACACTTTTGTCTCCCAAAGATGGAAAATACATACCAGGAAATCACATTGACTTAAACAGTTCATCTGCTACCGCTACAACTTCAGTAAGCTGACTACAGGAAATTTCTACACCAAGGAAAAAACAGGATGAAACTTCTACCTCTGCAATTATTTGCTCCTGATACATGGAAGCACAGGAGAACTTCCCAATACTTATGCAAAAGCTCCAAAGGAAATGTCAGTATAATCTAAGTTCACTAGACCAAACAGCTCTCCAACAGAGTCCACTGTGTCCACCGATCTGTACCCAAAGCAATTTATTTTGGACTAAGACATTTATATAATTGTTGACACCCAATATTAAGAAAACACTTAGAAAAACATTTTCTAATATTTTATGTCATGGATCCGAAACATATTATTTTAGATGTGCAGCAGGCTAGAAATGGCTTTGCCTTCATCATTCAGATGTTCACAAGGCCAGAAAAATAATGCTTTAGTGGCATGAAATCCAGAGAGGAGAGGTCCTCTCTCTGACAGGTCTGTGAGAACCAGCCTTTTGTTCCATTTAAAGATGATCCTCCAGACCCAGATACAGCTAGAAGTACTACAGAGAAGGAACCATTGCAGGGAGAAATGTTAAAATAGACAGCATGAATGTTTCAGATGCAGTCTCCAGGCATGCTGCATACACATGCTCCAGGCTCCGCAGGAACTATGGACAATGTCCTTACATTAGTTAGTGGAGGTGTTGGTGCAGGTAGGTGGATGTCTGAAATGCAGCCACCAAACTATATGAATAAAAATCACCCCAGTGAGGAACAAGCATCAGCTGAAACACACACCCAAGAAGTTTCTAATGGTGCTGTAAAGACTCTGAGGGACATGGTGGAAACACAGAACCTGGATAAACTTGAGGAACTCAACAAAGTTATTGCCTTTAACTTGTTGCAGACAAGGCCTGAGCCGAAAGAGAAGCTGAGCTCTTCACAGAAGAGTGAAGTATAATGCATTTTGAACCTCAGCCATTGTGTATTACCAGAGAGAGCTTCAAAGACGGGAGAATGAAGCTGTCTGTGGATACAACGCTGAAAAGAGATATTACACAATAACACACCAGATGAATGCAGCTTTTACCTGTGAAAATAAAACTCCTATGTATAATCTCAGTGGAGGAAAACATAAGCGGTGCTACACTCACGGCAAAAAAGCTGAAATACAGCCTTGGCCCATGAAGGATCCAAAGGAATCAAGTCCAGCTGAAACATCCATTATAAAAATCAGACAAGCAAGATCAAGGTCCAACAAGAGATACAGCAGCTCCTGTAACACTAAAGCAAAGCACAGTTTCTGATTCTGAATTGGATGGCAACAATACCCAAGTAATACAAAAATAAGACGTAGGAATTCAAAAAGATAGATTTCCCTGAAGTCCAGAAGACTGAGAAGCTGAAGATGCATGAATTTAGGATTAGCACTAAGAGGTCTATCCTGAAGAATTACATGTAGCAAAACAAAAATGATACTAAAAATAGATATTACAATTAAAATTGCATTACTGTTGTATTTGAAATACATTAACATGCTAGAAAATGTGCACAGAATGCACCTGGCTTTTAATGTTTAAAATTAATGCAACATCCTCTAAACTGAGGTAAAATGTATAAAATGTCAGTAGAGACAAAATAATGCTCATGTTTTGCGCACATCCATTTTAATTTAGTAAAATACAAGATGTGACTTTAGACAAAGTGAACTATGTTTCAGTGGGTTTCCTATTTGAGTAAAATTACTGAAATGGTTTACAAATTACTATGCAATTTTTTTAAAAAAAAACCCTGCTATTTCCTGCTGGGTGATTTAACCTGTTCATAAAGCTTCAGTCTGGTTCAGGCAATGAAACAAGATGTCAGGGTCCTGGCTTCACATCACTAAGGAGTGAAGCTGCTCACTGTGTCCTTCAAAGAGCTGAAGCCCAGTATTTGTTTCATATTGAACAAAACTTTTAACTATATGATGTGAAAATATATATATATATATTTAAAATTGAATATGAAGTAAACATGGAAAATTAAGCATGACTTCTTCCTCATGGTGCACGTTTTACTTAAAAATTATATTAAAATAGCATTTAGATTGCAAAGTTATGCATTTGAAATGCAGAAAATATTACATATGCTACTGAAAGATGAACATCAGTGTACTCTTTTTTGCATCTATTTTGGACACTGAATATGGATAGGATCCTGCAGGAAGACCAGATGTTGCCATAGCTTTAGCCATTTGATACATGAACCGAATGCTTACACTTGAACAGCAGAGGAAACGGCAGAACAAAGCTAAACGCTCCTGTTCCAGAATAACTCCTGAGCAGAAAGCTTTGCTTTGGGACTCCCAGCACTGTGCACCAAGAGAGGGGTGCTACCCCTCCTAATCACACTAGGAGCAGAATTAAACATGAGTAGATTGTGAGCCTGTAAAATGAGGCACAGCCTAGTGGTGATCCAACAAAATACTTTATGTGGTGGTTTGGCTCTCCCTGACAGCTAAGTCCACACCCACTCACTCCACAGCGGGCTGGGAGAAACAGTCAGGAGAGCAAGAGCAAGAGAGCCTGTCAGCAGAGGAAGAGACAGGTTAATAGAGAAAGCAAAGCTGGGGCATGAGCAAAGCAAAAGAAGGAATTGATGTCTAGTCACTTCCTGGAAAGCAAGGCCTCAACATGCTCAACTGTGACTTGGAAAGACAAACACTCTGAATGTCCCTCTTCCTCCTCCTTTCCCTTCCTCAGTTTCTATTGCTAAGCATGATGCAATATGCTATGGAATATCCCTCTGGTCAGCTGGGGTCAGCTCTCTCGGTTATGTGCTCTCTCAAGTTCTTGCATATCCCCAGTCTACCTGCTTGGACTGGGCAGGAGGGCAGAGTGGGAGGAAGAAGAGATTTTCACACTGGGCAAGTACTGTTCAGCAATAGCCAAAACATTGCGTGTTATCAGCACCTGAGCCCAAATTCAAAACAGCATCGCATGGGCTGCTATGAAGAAAATAACTGCATCCCAAACAGTCTCAGGAAAAGCAAGCATGTTAAAAGTGAGTAGAAATATCCAGTTACAGTAGAATAGAGAGTTCTCTAAAAGACAAACCTCTGGATTTTGTTTTTAATCTCTTTCTATCTGGTAAATATTGATGACCTCAAATAGCAGACCAGTCTTTTCCTCACTGATTTTGTATTCACACTGATTTTGTATTCACATGTGGTGGGTGAATACAAAACTGTATTCACCCACTGTCCCATTCCCCCTCCTCAACAAGGTATGGAGAAAAAATAGGATGAAGAAGCTCATGGGATAATATAAAGACAGGGAACAATATAAGAACACCTATCAATTACTTCTACAATTTAAAATAATTACTTATTTTTTACGGGAAAAAATAATTGCTAATTAAGATAGGTTTAGATTATGAGAAATAAACACTACAACATCTCCCCTTCTTCCCTCCTTTTCATAGTCTCAGCTTTACTCCTGCCTCTTCCTCATCCCTCTCCCACCCCCAGTAGCACGGAGTGGGTGGGGGGAATGGGTGCTGAGGTTAGTCCATACCAGTTCCTTGCTGCTGCTCCTTCCTTCTCACATTTGTCTCCCTTGCTTCACCATGAGCTCTCCATATGCCACAGCTCCTTCTGGGAATACCCACCTGCTCCACCGTGATGTTCCCCAGGGGATGCAGTGTGCATGGCTGCTCTTGCGTGGTCCTCTCCCCAGGCCGCAGGGAAATACCTGCTGCCCTGCTCTTGTCCACAGGCTGCAGGGGAATCTCTGTTGCAGCATCTCCTCCCCTAGTTCTCTGACCTTGTTATTCGCAGGGCTGTTTCACACACTTTTTTCCCCTCAGTCCTGGCTGTATGTGCAGCTTTTTGCTCTCTTTGAACACGTTTTCCAGAGACATGAGGAGCGTGGCTCAGCAGCCCCGCCATGCACTGCATCCAGAGCTGGTTGTGCCCAGCACGGGCCAGGCCCTGCCGCTCCTCACAGAGGCTGCCCCCAGCCACCAAAACTGTGCCACTGACACACAACACACGATTCAATTTCAAGGAGATGAATATTGCCTCATTAAGTCCTGGAAGTTGTTATGGGATAAATTTCCCATAAATTCCCTCTTAGCCTTCCTCTTCTCTTGACTTGCCTTCTGAGGCACAACACTTACTATCAATTGTTCAGCTAAGCAGTGTAACCATTCAATGAGACAGTTTTCTAGGATACGTCACCACTTTTCCCCCTCCTAATTACCTTATCTCCTTCCTCTCCTCCCTCTCTACATTCAGAATAAGAATTACAAGAATAATAATTCTTGTAAACCTAAGAATATTTAGCTGAGTCCTGGTGCTTGGCTCACAAGCGGTCCATGCATTGGGAGTGGGAGGCATGTCTGGAGAACTGAATTTATGCCGCCAGGCCTCTCTCTCAGCCTCCTTGGTGTCTAAGCAGAGTCTACATTTTAGACCTTACAATTCATGACCAACAATTCTATTAGAGTATTTTTTATTTTTTTTTACTGGTGGTTTAGTCTATTTGCAAGTTCTACTTTATATTAAAGACATTTAACTTTCAGTATTTTTCACAGCCTTCATTATGGAGAGCAGAGAGACATGGCAACTAAAGCTGTAGCTATAAAATCTGCATCACTTTTTGTCTTGATTTGTGAACTGTTATAAAATCAACATAAGCAGGCAAACCAACAGACAGAATGCTGAAAGGGCCCAAATTTTCTGCTGATGTCAAGAGGCATTACTATCATCAGTGAAAATATATTCATACTGCAATTATTTGGTCCATCCTTTTTGTATTTGTCTGCTAATACAATTTCCATAGCAATTCAGAGATCAAGACAGAAGAGCAGCTGGCATTTTTCCAAGCCCAACACCATTCTTCTGCCCCTTACTGGTATGAATCTTCCTATTCATGTTTTGTACTTTATAGAGAAATAGTTTTCTTTATAATTAAATATGCTTCACAGAAGAAAAGGATTTTATAAAGTTGTTAATGTGAATGTATCTACCTTAGTATTAAAATTCAACCGAAGAAAGTATGAGGTCTGACAACTTAAATTATAAAAGTCACAAATAATTATGTCCATAGCATATTTGGTCCATATGAATGCACAGACTGGAGGTTACCACAAAAGGGGTAACCCCTACTGTGCATTTGGCATGGCTGAGCAAGAATTCCTCATCAGAATTTCAAACATCCATCCCTACTTATTGATATTTAAATTACATTGTACATTCAAAGATTATACATACATTATACTCAATTCCACTTGTACTAGAAAAACTTCTATTATCCTACCACATTTCACAAAATAATTGGTTATTGCAAATAAATGGAAGATATTGTACCTGGTGAAGTGAATAGTCCTTTCAAATGCATGGCTTCCTGCAAAGGGAAAGGTAAGTAGTTTTTAACTTTTGAAGTATTAGTGTTAGCTGGACAAAAAGGAAGCCCTACAATAAACAGCTGAGATACCAGTTAACAGAAAATGGAAAATGTTCTAACAAAATATGTGGACTGATACTGTTCAAATCAAATCATAACATGTCACTTAGACTAATTTGTAACCTTTTAATATGTGGTTGCAGAAACTGCAGATTCAGGAAAATGAAACATGCAAACTCTGTCGACAGAGAGTTTACCCCATGGAATGTCTAGTTGCCGATAAGCAAAATTTTCATAAATCGTGTTTCCGATGTCACCACTGCAGCAGTCAATTAAGGTAAGAAGAAACTGCACGTGCACTCACACAACCCTTTGGAATATAAATAAAAAAAGATGGTGAAATTATTTTCAGCTGTAGGATTGTTCAGCCTGTAGGATGCTGGGTTGACAGGGTGGTATTCTGAGTTCTCCTTTTCTTCTCTGCTCCAAACATCAGCACTGTGACATGGAACGAGTCCCTTAAATTCCTTATAAAACTGCTCCATGGCAGTACCTTCCAAATCCCTCCCCATATTACTTCCTACTGACTGTTGCAGACCTTCAGGACAGCATGAAACAGTCACAGTAGACACAGGAATTCGGGTGGAATTTAAGACATCTGAAGATCACCAAATTTTCTCTCAATTTTCCTCATTCATAAAATGAACTGTGATAGTTCTCTGCATTAGCAGATCATTTTGTAACCTTTACATAAAATGTACAATTTATTGTACTGACTGAAAAGACCAGGAATTTTGATTTTAACACACTCTGGGGTTAGTTATACATTGAATGAATGAAAATTTCCTTTACTTCATCTGGGAGGAGAATCCAAATATAATCAAACATAAATTTCTATCATTTGCACAAAGACTAAATTCTGCTGCTACTTTGTAGAAAAACTGAGGATTTGAATTTTCATAAGATGAAGAAAAATGGTCAAGAAAGCCCAGAAGTGCTGTGGAACATTTCTATTTGACGCTTATTCTGTGCAACAACTGAATGAGTTTATGTTCTTTCATAAATCACTAAGCATGACTATTCGCCTTCATTTTGACTTTGAAATTGTATGGGAATTTCCAAGTAAAGATTTTAGATACTTATTTTTTGGGAGGGGTTGGGGGGAAAGGGGGAGAAAGGGGAAGGTGTATGGTAATCTATCATATATAAAAGTATAAAACAATTTTTTTTTCTATTTGGCAGCTTGGGAAATTATGCATCTCTCCATGGAAAAATATATTGTAAACCCCATTTTAAGCAGCTTTTCAAATCAAAAGGAAATTATGATGAAGGTTTTGGACACAAGCAGCATAAGGAATTATGGAATTCTAAAGATCTACTTAGTTCAATTAAAAATAATCAGGCTGAAGAAACAAATCCCATTAATAGTGCACCTGTTGATCCTAAACCAATTACAGAAGTAGATAAAGACTTGTACTCAGGTACTGAAGGTGCACGTCCTGATATTTTGGATAATAATTTGAAAAAATCCACAGAAAGAGGTAAATTAAAAATGATATGGCCTCCTTCAACAGATGATGCAACACCTAAGAAAACATTTTCTATTGAGGAATCAGCTAAAGTAAATAAGTCAAAGTGGCCCCCAGAAGATTTTGCTCAAGAAGATTCTAGTTTACATAGAAATAAACCTCTGGGCAACAAAAAGGAATCTCAGAAAAATCCCACTGTGATGGAGCAAAATAAAAACAACACCACAAATTCACAACAAAATCAACACTCATCCTTTTGCTCTCTGTCTGAGAAAGAAGGTAAAAATACCTGCAAAGCAAAGAAAAATGAAGCAGGCAATAAGGGGAAGGATGGGGAAGCAGGGAATGTGCAAGATAAGGTGATTAAACTAGAAGCGTCAGAGAGTAGGGAGCAAAGTGGAAAGGATATTAATGAGGGCGATAATGTAATTGTGGATAGTCCTGGGAAGAAGCAAGAAAAACAAATAAATGAAACTGATAATTCAGAAGTTGTACAAGTCACTAACATTGATGATGTAACAGTACAAAAGAATTACAAAGAATGCAGCTTGAATAGCAACAACAATAATAATTATGCCACTTTTTCACATCAAAATATTTCTACACAAAAAACAACTCTCTCAGCTATGTCTACCCCAAAGCCAGCATTAAGCCATGCTATTTGCACTGAATCACAGCATGCCTTTGCAAAACTGGACAGTCAGTCTGGAAATGAAGAAATATACGCAATGTATGAACCTCATGAGAGCTGTTCTAGTAATACTGTACTTGCACAGGACGAACCAAACTCAAAAGATGAAGATGCTGTTACTTCTAAGAGTCTTTCTCAATTTAATAATGATGCCACTTGTCAGAAGTCTCATACTAGCAGCATGATAGTTTTGAAGAAGGCAACTAACACATTCTCTGTTGATACTGAGTTGTTATGCACTGGAGAAGAATCAGAATATGACAAAAATAACAAAAAGCTAAATACTATTTTATCTGACACTCTGAAGAAATCTTTTCTTAAAAAAGACAACCTGGTTTTAAACTGTGGTCTAATAGACTCTATAGATGTAAGTAAAAAATCCGGCAGTCCATATTTGAAAGAACATGGAAATTATGGTAGAGAACTGAATTATATTAACGCTTGTCAAGAAAGTGAAATAATCCAATTGGCAAAGACTGACATAAATACAAGCTTAGATTTACTGAGCTCAAGACATACTGCTGTTTCATCATTCCAAGGCAAGAAAGTCATGTTCAAGTGGCTCATTGCAGATGAACAAATTAAAAAAAGTAGATTTTATGATGAAAATTAATAAAACATCCAAGTTGTCGGCTATGTCTGTCACTCATTACAAAGTATTTCTTCAGTCTACTTATTTTAGTCTCTCATGGAGAATTTAATATCCAGAGATGACATAAAAAAATACAATTATACTGTCAATTACCCAGACTTTATCCAGATAGTTTATATTTAAGGCAATGAATATGTAGATTTTTTTGCATCTGTAATTATAAAACACCCTTTGTTTTTCTATATTTCTGAACATTGCAAGGAATATTTTACTGCGCTATCCTGGAGAAACATAATCCATTCCAATATTTATTATTTGTAACAACTTCAGATGTGAAGCACCTGGTGTGCACAATGGAAGAAAAAATACTTCCATTGTTTTTTCTAATGTATTATTACTGTAACTGAGCTGTTGCTCCATGACGTATTATGTACACTGGTTGTGTTAGCTCATGCTAGAAAATCTGGGGTTTGGTTGAGATTTTGGGGGGGTTAATCTTTTTTGTTTCTGTTTTTGCAATATCATGTAATACTTAGTTTGAAATGGATCATTACTGAATAGTAACCACAGCTGGTTGGTGAATAGCACTGTTTTGCTATATTCCGAGAGCTGCTACTAAGTTATGTTGAGTAACAGGGGAGAAAAAAAGTGTGTAAATTTTAACATTTACATGTTAAAATAAAAAAGATAAAAAAAATAGATTAAAAAAAAAGATTAAAAAAAAAAGATTAAAAAAAAGAGCCTGAATAGAACTGAAAGAGTGTTTGGGGACACTGGGCAATGAAGACTAGTGGTTGTTTCAGTAACTAATTCAAAGTCATTTGAGCTGAAGCAGCTCTCCAATGTCATATTTAAACCTGTACAAATTTATGCAAACTCTAGCACTTTTTTCCTTAAGACCTATGCTTATGGATTAATGTTTGCTCACCTAACACTATTCTATCTTGTATGATACAGCAACATATCATTTAACTGTTGACAATGCATAATAAAAAAGCACTTTACAAAAAAAAAATTTGTGATTTTTTTTTAATATGAATTTATAAGTACTGTTTCCATTAAATAGTTTGTGAAATTCTTCATGCAATGACTAGTTTAAGCCAAAGTGTCAGAGAGAAAGGGGATCATAATCAAAATGCATTTTTCAGAATAGTTCCTGAAGGGAAAATTTGCACTGATGAGTAGCAGTAAAATGAAACTTTTCTACATCATTATTTAGTACAGGAGCCTGTCAGTCTGAAAAATATATTTTCACTGGCTATTATTGGCTAGTGAAGATGTTCTACTGCTTTTAGAACACAGCAGGGCTCATGTATTCTTCTATACTGAAAAGCACCAATTACAGAAATTAAAGAGCCTGATTTAATGGCTGGGCCAGAGCTGCATTTTAGAGGACTTCTAAATTTGCAGTCCATTTGAAACTTCATTAATTGCAATTCATTAATTGGCACAAAAGCTTACTTAGAGTTACTTAAATTGTTTTTATAGGTGTGGCATATCCACTAATCCCTTTAGAGCCTTTCTAGAGTCAGGGGCAATCTCAAAACTCTCTAAAGAGACCTAAATAACACCTTGACTATAGAGCAGAAGTGCACTCCTCCTAAGTGAAGGACTTGCTGAATGCAAATGCTGGATTACTTTGAAAAGTTTAAATACCTTGTCTGTCTTCTGTTAAGCATTTACCTCCTTCATACATATCAGCAGGAAGACCTACACCAGTTATTTTAAATGACACAGTGGTCAGGGTGGACAATAAAACCATGCTAAGGATCTGCTTTGTTCTAATGCAACATGTCTTGAAATATCCCTCCCATAAATAATTATAGTTCAGGCCTTATTTTCAAAGTGCAGGATAATTATCAGAATTACTTATAAAAGATTCGGGTTGCTTCAGTCAAGTATACCTCCAACTGGTAGGTATAATTGCAAAAACATTAACTACCCTGGGTACACTCACAAAAACAGGAAAACACAAAGACAAAAACACAGATTAAAGCTTTTGTCTCTTGTCATGCTTTCATCCATTAAGAGGAACCTAAGTTAAATCCTTTGGGTAAATTTTATTGCCTTTCATGAACAGCATTTTACCTTGTATGTGGGTTACATTTGATGATTTTGACATGCAAAGCATTTTAAAATGTTTTAAAGAGAAGATCTGTATTAAATTTGGCTTAGAAATATAAACGAACTGACCTTACTCTTGGGCTTTCTAAAGCAGTAAATTACAATTCAGCCATGAAAGATTTGAATTTTTCAGTACAGTCTTTAAAGAAAAAAATAAGGCAGCTCTGTACTGTAGTACTTTGGGAAAAGAGGATAAAAATTCCTGTTCCACATTGCTACCTCACCTCCTCTCTCTTAGGGTAGGGTATGAGGGAGGAAAAAAAGAGACTAATGTCTTCTTAAATTCTTAAAAAGAAAGAATAAGGTCTATTAAAAATAAAATTTATGTTTAATCTGACTTTCATTAACTAAGTACATTGTCATTTTAAAAAGAGACATGAAAGATCTACTACACATTTCAGCAGGTGGTTTTCAAAAATCACATAATCTGTTCAAATAATAAAAAAGAAAACCTAGGAAAATCTCATAGTGTTTCAACTCATTTTACCTGTAGGCTCTTGACACTGTAGCCATCACTATCAGTATCCATATAAAATTACTCTTAGACTGATGAAATGATACCTGTAACAGATGCTGATAAGGAATAATCTGTGTCCTATCACAACAAATACCTATGAAGGAGCCATTCCTTCCCCACAGAAACTGTATATTCCAAGTCAAAAAACAGGCTGTTCTCCAGTCAAACTCACTAGAGAAAAAAGTTGACCAAACACAAAATTTCATGATCAAGAAGTCATCTCTCAACAAAAATAGAGATGAATTTTCAGTAAACAAAATAAAATAGTTAAAAACTTTAAAGGGGAATGAAGGTATAGCTGTACCAGGAGGGGATGGAACACTAAACAATGTACTTCAATATAGTGTTTGATAAATTAGATTATCAACCTAATTGCAATACTGGTGCACATATAATAAAAATAAAAACCAATCTATATGAAATATCCTCTTACCACTTAAAATATGCTTCCAGTTTCTCTCTGTAATCACAATTAAGACCTCTACAGGACATTAGATAAAAAGGAAGAAATTGATAACTATAAAGTCAGCTTATGCAGATGGACACAGAAAAAAGATTCTGCAGTTCCAATCTTAAGAGCTTTTGTACAGCTTTTCATAAATCAATATTAGAGTGGAAATAGCACATCAACAGTGTCATACACCGTTCTAAACAGTGTTTAGAATATCTTTATTATCTCCAATAAACTGGTTTTCTGCTTTGGTAGGACAGTACTGCTATACTGAAGGTTTACTGAAGATTGGGTCTGGGTGGCTTTGACTGAGGAAACCATTTTGCCAGCAGTGGTTCTTACGTGCCCAGAGAGAAGGTAATGAAAAGCTGCATTACCAGGCACTGGCAGCAATCCATGCTGACAGCATGCCATAAACCAGCAACAGCATGCACTCAGCTTCTTGGGCCAGAGTAGGAAGCCTAAACCGTTAAGCCTGAGGTAGTATTTTTAATAATTCAATAAACCAAAATATTAAATAATTGTGCAAGTAGCAGGATTCATCCCTTCTGTGTTCCGAACAAGAACAAGAGTCCCAAGAAAAACACTGTGTGATCACAAAATTAAAACTATACCAGATAGCTTTTGAGTTCAGGCATTCGCATTTTCAAATCTAATAATCTTTTAATGTAATACATGAGTATCATGTCTGTAAGCATATAAATATATAGATACTCATGTATACATAAGTAGAATCACAAGCAATCAGCAAATTACTGTAACACTGGCTGTATATATATAGAACTAGGAAGCTCAGTGCCACTGAACTGCTTCATAATGTGGTGGCTTCACTGCTTTCCCCCTCTTTCTCTATCATACATTCTGTGCTTCCTTTGGTTGCCCTTCTACTACCATTACAAGCTCCTTGGGACTAAGACTTTAGACAACTTTTTTCTTCCAGATGATAAGAAAAAGCACACGGCCAAATATTCCTGATGCAGTTCTTTTATGAATAAATTTTAGTACCAATATCCTCAGTCCCTTAGTGGGCAGACATCCTTATCTATGAGGATGACACTCCAGCAACAGAAACATGTGAGTAATTTTTCTTAAAATGCTCTTCAGTGAAAATAAGGGTAACACAAACTCTCCTGTGTGTCAATCATAAAATAGTCCCAGTGATGACAATTCCAAGCTTTGCAGTGTTAGTATGAGGGAACATGACTCCTGTATTCTGCCAGCTGTGCAATTCAAGAAAATGGAAATTAAGGGCCAGTCACATTCCACTACTGGTCACATCCTCTTGCTGATAAGCAATCAGATGACACAGAATCAAGCTCTCTGGTTTATGAGCAGCAATTGCCAAATCATCCTCCAAGAGGATGAAAAATTGAAAAAAAATTAAATTGAATGCAATATTATAAAATAAGTGAAAACATTAATCATAATTAAACAGAACCACATTGATTTTTGCCAGCTGGATTCAGCCACAGACTGTGATGGGAAAGTTCTTCTCTCTTGGTTAACCCTGCTGAGAGCCAGATTAATTCTTAATAATTAACTTTTTAGGTAATAGTGCAAATATTTGTCAAAATAGTTGATCCACCACAAAATTAACTATGGGGTGGGGAACAGTGAAAATTCTAATATATTTAAAACAAAGATAAAAATACCCAAACTGACTGGATCAATGTGGGGGAGGTAGGGGAAGGAAAAAAATGTTCTTTATATGAACAGGTCACTCATGCAAAGCAGAATTACTTGGATGTGAAAAATGGTCCTCCGCCCATCCATTCCTTTGCACAAAAGGCCTATCTTGCATCACTGTTCAAGGCAGTTGCAATTAAATATATATTTACAGAATCTTTAAATACTTGTAAGTATATTCATTATGTTCACAGTGACATTGCTCTGAAGGACACTACGATATAAATGGAAGCTCTGCTTATAAGTAATCACTGCAGATATACAAATATCTTGAAGGACTCACTCTGCACACAAAGGAAGTCGCCTTGCTTTGTTTATGGGGAAATTAGCTCCCTCCAGCTGACATAGTACATAGGAGATAAAATTACAAAAGGAAACAGTTTCTCATGCAGTGTGAAATCAGATCCCAATGCACTTCCAGAAGAGTATATGAGGGGGCAAGTTTGTGGGGGCAAGAATCCTTTGTCTCCTTACTTGTCTATATAGAACCTAGCACATAACTGTGATTTGCATCTCACAGCATACATCTACATGATATTAACAAAAGGGATACCAAATTAGGCTGAATAATGCTAGCAAATTGTAATAGAGTTAAAAATAAATAATCAAATATTCCTCCCCCAGATCTACAAAAGCAGTGCTGCATCCATGCATCAGTTAAGTATTCAAACCTTATCAGAAGGGAGAAGTGAAATAATGTTTATCTCTAAGAGGTTATTTTACAGTTTAATGTAAAAGATCTGCCAATTATAATACACTTCAGTACTACCATACTGTTCTCCTAAAACCTGAGGTTAAAGCCTAAAAAGACATACAGCAACTCTATTTCCCTTCTTCACAAAGGAATTTCAAGATAGTTCCTGCCATCTGCCAGAATCCCCAATACCAGCACAATATCCCACAGTTCACATCTTGTTGGCTGTCTTAACAGCTAAAAATTATTTCAGTAAGTGTAACTTCTAAATTCTGTCACTCCTGTTGATCCAGGACAGAAAGGACTGCTGCTGACAGAGCTGAATGGAAATTACATTTCTTATACTGTTTCTGCTACAAATAAGAGCAGCTCAGCTCACGTCAGCTCAGCTCATGTATGTCCATTAGTACTTTCCAGGAGTATGATGTTGTTTTTCAGAAAGAACTGTTGAAACTCTTCTGTCTTATGGGACTGAAGGCTAAATTACAGTTTTGTGGGCTGAGATAAAAAGAATTAAAAAAAAAAAAATAAAAAAATAAATCTCACTAGTTTATCAGGGGGACTACTACACTTTAGAATTTATTATGCATACCTAAAGGAACAGACCCATATTTTTGCTTTTTTTTCCCTCATCTCTTCTCTCCTTTTAATTAGTTGGTGCATCTATGCCTATAGCTACATCTTCATGTGAGTTGTTTTGTCTCATAAACAGGATATTTAGCCAAAGTGTGGCGTTTTGTCTTTCTTTTTAAGGATTTAACTAACTTACACACCCAGCTGTGCATATGACTGCAAAAAGGTGCTGTAGAGAACCTTAAAGTCTAATCTTTAACATGAACATAAAATTCAGACATTATTATCTGACTTTCTGTTTACATTTTTGGATAAGTTTAAAGTATTAAAAGTAATCACATATATGTTCTGCTTACTACAAAGAGATTCCTTTATAAGGATTATTTTTAGTATTTCCTTCTTTGCAGGAGTTATAAAGTTATAAATGTGCAATGCTCTAGTCAGTTCTGTAATATTTGTAAAACTGTCAAACATAAATAAAGTGTGTTGGGCTTTGGGTTTCTTTCAAGATAATGATATAACTGATACCAAAAGTTTAAAATAACCCTGTTTTAACAAAGAGTAAAAAAACTGATACCTTAAATATATAATGCTACTATTAAAAAATGTACTTTCTCAAGGCTTGAAGCAGTTCCTGAAGTAATAAAACCCATTTGCTAGAAGAAAACATCTCTGACCTGTTGCAGTGTCTAAGCATATGGGCATTTAAAACAACAGCAAACTCAATTGCCAACAAAAAACAAAACGAAAAAAAGGTAAACTGTTGAAGAATATGAGATAAAAGGCACAACTTTCACATTTAACAGTACTAGCAGCAGTTCTGAACTCAGCACAGATGAGGGTACCTGCATCTGGTACAACAAGCAACTCTGTCTATAAATTATATTTAATTTTGTAGTATTAACAATATTTCATTAAGGAATTAACAAACATTTGGTTATGACCAGATTAACTTGACAGATTATTTGATTTTAGAAACCATTCTTAATAGGCATGAAATACAATGGCAAGCCACTAGGAATTACTAAGTCTCCACACCCTTTTGAATCAGCAAATAAAGCACAAAACTAGTCAAGGAGTTCTACTTGACAAGCAAATTCCAAAAGAGTGGGTAAAGACCATTAACACTGAAAAGAACCCAGCAGTAAAATACATTTCTGAAATGTTTTCAAGCATTCCACCTGGCATTTTAGACAGACTGGAAAACATGAAAAAGACATTTATTCTTAGTATTACTGAAATCTAATAACTAATAATAATTAATAAATAATAACTAATAATGAGTCTAATAACTATTAGTTCTAGAAAAAGAGTAGTTGAAGTTGTACTCCTCTCCTCCTGGCACATTCCCCCTTCCTCTGCTGCCCTGGATCTCTTGATCAGTTTCATTCCACCCTAATGTGAAGGGGTGATAACAGTGACTTATTGATCATTTGGAGTCCTTGGCCAAGAAGGAGAAGTACAATATTCAGCGTTTCAATTTCTTCCTCCTCTAGTTTTCCCTTAAGTTCATTTTTATCTTTGCAAGCACACTCTTCTACATTTTTCTTTCTTCACTGGTTTGCAGCTCTAATTCTATACCTGAATTTAGTATGTTACCTTTTAGATATGTCAGGTACTATTTCTTTACAACCTCCAAACCCATTTTGGTCCAGCTCCAGACTTATATTTCTTTAAGTGATCACAGGTAAGCCATTTCTCGCCACAGGCCTCCAGTACCAAGCCCATGCCTCTTTCCTTAGTGCCTTACACCAATAATCCTCCACGGTTCATCCTCGATCTTCACTTCTCCAGGACCTGTGGTACCCTACCAGACCCATACACCTCTACAGTACATCTCTGCAGTTAGCGCGCAAAAGACCTCGTTCTACACAGAACAACTGTGCAAACCTATGGATGTACCACATAAACAAGAGCTAGAAACAGGCACCTGTTCCACTGGCAAAAATCGCAGCTACCGCTGAACCAATTTAAACACAGGTGCGGGCAGGTGCGGAGCTGCCAGTGGGACAAGTTCTGAGGCCTTGCAAACTCGGTGCAAGCCCCGCAGCGCAGTGCGAGCCGCGGCGATGGAGGGTCCCGCACAGCGCAGCGCTGAGGCAGCCGCCGAGGACGCGGTCCTGTGCCCGCCGCGGCCGCGCCAAGGTCGGCGGCAGCCGGCAGCGGCCGCAGGGATGTTGCCGGCGGACACGGTTTCAGCACGGTGGAATTCCCCTAGAAAAAAATACATCTTCTTCCACTAAATTTTACTTATTTTCAACAAAACGCCCTGGCGTGAAGCTCCATATTCCTGTGCACGCGGGGAGTGGGCGGCACACGCTCCCCACCTGCACGGCCGGCCCTCAGCCCGCTCCCGTTTTCCAGAGCGGCTGGGGATGAGCAAGGGTGGCCCAGCCGCGCGCGTTACCACCACCGGTACCCTCTGCCGGTGCTGGAGCGCGTCCCGGAGAGCCCGCGGCGCTGCCAGGCGGGGACACCGGCCGCAGGGACACCGAGCGCGCTGCCCCGGCGGGGACACCGGCCGCAGGGACACCGAGCGCCCTGTCCCGGCGGGGACACCGGCTGCGGGCACAGAGGCGGCGCGCGGCTCCCGCCGCCCGGAAGCGGCGCTGCCTCGCGGAGCGGCTCCCATTGGTCCGTTCCCTCCACAGCGTCCCGCCCCCTCGGCGCGGCGCGCGCGGCCATTGGCTGCCGGCGGTGCCAGTCGGCGAGGGCGAGCTCCGCCGGTGCCCGCGCTGCGCTCCCGCGCGGCGCGCGCTCTGCCGGCTGGTGCGGCTGCGGGCGGAGCAGGGATGCGCCCCGGCTGCGGGAGCGCGGCGCGGAGCGGCGGCAGCTCGGGCGACCGAGGGCGGCGAGCGCGGCCGGTAAGGTCCGACCGGGGGGAATGCGGGTGCTCGTCGTCGTGCGCATCCCTTGCGTCCGGTGCTGAAGGGGCCGCCGGCAGCGCCGGGCAGCGGTGCCGGCACGGGCGGAGCGGCGGGCGGCCGAGATGCCGGGGGCGGCCGACGGCGCTGGGCCGCGATGGGCAGGGGTCGCGGACGGGCGCGGTCTCCCACCGCCCCTTACCGTGCCCTTCGGTGCGGCGGTCCCCGGGAGGGACCGGCGGTGCGGTGGGAACTTCGTCTGCCCCCGCCCGGCTGGCGGCGGCCGGCGGTGCCTGCGGGTGCCGCGGCGGGGGGCGACATCAGCCCTCCAGCAGGGGCTGCGGCGCTGCCCCTCCGCTCCGCCGCCTCAGGAGGGCCGCCGAACGGTGCCGCCGAACGGTGGCTCCGGCGTTGCCGTGCGGGGCCGCCGGGGATGGTGGCTGGAAAGGCGGTGCCGCGGGTCCCGGCTGTGCCCCGCTCGGCAGCGGCAGCGTGGCCGTGCCCCGGGCCGGCGCTGCGCCCATCAGCGCTTCTCTTGGGGCGGCGGGTTGAACTTCCCTTCAAGGGAGGATTTAACTCGAAGATGTTCCCGGACGCCCAGCGGGGAGAGTCACACAACCGAAGGCGGCAGCGGTGGTGGCGTGGCCGCAGACTGGATCTTAAAGTTGTTAACACAGTTAGGTCGAAGAAAAGTTATTTTAAAGTAAACGTATCGGTGATGGTTGATACCTGACCACTGGCTATTGAGACGGAGGAATTAGAAAGGTGAAATCTCATTTATCCCTATGCACTCCTTTCCATTGTTCTTCACCCTACTACTTTTAGTGATAAAGACAATATTGGAAGGCTTTGAAGTGTGGTCAAATCATGTTCATTTAGATAAAAACAGCCTTTAGATTCTCTTCAGAGATGTCATTGTAAACATTAAGTATCTTGATTATATAACATTTCAAGGAATCTGCCGAGATGTTGCCAGACTTTGTGATAAAGAGCCTGATCTTGCAATCATAGAAATAAAGAGTTTTGACATTGATTCAGTAGGAAGCAGGACAGCTTCCACAATTAACAGACAAAGAATAGTTTGTGTTATGTGTTGGTTATTTTGCATCTCTTGGGTTAGGTATTTTAAACATTTAAACACTGTCTGCGGAAAATGTGAAGAGCATTTAGTTTGATTCAGGGGTTTTTGGTTTTTTTCCTCTGTACCTTTAAGCTTCCTTTCCTACTTTCTAGGAGTGTATTGATCTTGTTCACTCTTTCTTGATAGAGGATTCTGATTAGTTATAAGGATGTGTTCAATCACGTGATGCAGAACGTGTTTTCAGAAATGTTTTAAATCATGATAGATGCGAGGGTGAATAACCAGTGCAAACACCATTGTAACACATACATGCTCTGCTTTGGAGAGCTGAAGCCCATTTTTATGGTTGTGGGGAAGGCACAGGTAAGTGTAAAAGATTTGAGGTGTGGAATTTAGAGCTGGCACAGGTTAAATATTGTTCCCTCCCTGCATAGTTACCCACTAAGTAACGTTTTTGGCAGAATATAAATTGCTAATGAAGTTTCAGTTCTTGTACATCTCTGATTCTGGACAGATCTATACAGGTGCAGCAAATGTCATTTTGTCCAACCAGTTTTTCAGAAACTTCAGTTAGTTAACCTGATTCAGTGTCATCAGAGTATTTTAGATTAATGTAGAGAACAAGTATACATCCAAGGATGTCGCACGTAGTCATGATGCAATGTCTGAGATGCACTCGGTTTTGTTCATGCCTCATAACATCACCCATTTTTTCCTTATGTGCTTTTTTAGGAAAGAAAATCACAAATTTTTGTGGTTGTTTTGTGGAAGAGAGCAGACAAATCTTTGTAAATTACAGGCTGAACACACTAAGCTTTCCCTCTGCCCTTCCTTGTGACACCAAATTTTAATCTAAACATTTAATTTGTGAATGGGTAAGCTGTAGAACCTTCAGCAGATGAGTAGACTTCATTTGTGACAGTTATTTCACTGGGGCTGTTCCCAAGAGAACATGCATGCAGGAGAATGTATGCCAGTGTATTTTCTACATAGGCAATCTTTGTCTTAAATACCTTTTCTAAAACATCAAAATATTTCAATGCTGCCATTTCAGAAGGGTGCTCAATTCAGTGTTTATTCATCTTCTTTGTCTGTTAGTACATAATGAAATTTTTACTTACTTACTTTACAGCAGCAATCATTCCACCACTGAAGTCAATATAAGTGTATTATATATTGCTTAAAAATATTAATCAGCTCTATACTTATTAATATTCATAAGTATTATAATTACATAATGCTCATACCTAGTTAAAAGTTTGAGGAGAATGCAGAAGTTTCAGAAATTTTCAGCTTGCTTTTTGTGGTTTTCTTCTATATAAAGGAAACTGAGTCCTTCTCTATGCCTCCCAACACTCAGAAATATCCTGAATTTTCCTAAGATGCTTTTGTAGTAGTAATTTTTACAGGGTAGTTTCACTATATGTAACATAATAAAAAATCTGGAACTGAAGCAGTCAATTCTGTCATATTGTCCACCCTGTTGCTTGTTTAGTTAAATAGGTAAAGATGGATACTAAGATGTTATTGATGTTATTTGCCATGACTAGTAGGAAAATTATTTCTTTTGATACAGCTAGAGAAAACAAGAGGTATGCTTTTTAGAACTAAGCATATTTTAGAAATAAGTACATATGTACATTCAGTTGAACCAGTGAAGAGCTGCAGAAGATCATGGAAAAGATGAATGAATGATGTATCTCCTAGTTTTATCAGATTATGCAAATGGTACACGGATCTTTTTGGAAAAGCTCATGCTGTTTTTGAATTGCAGTTAAAATATGGGCTCATAGCTGTTAGCTGTGTCTCTGTCAAACGCAGCAACTCTAAATGCTGATGTATGGCAGCTCTGCAGAGCTCTAGATACACAGAAGTATAAAATGCCTCAGCATCCAAGTGTTCCCTTTGTGGCTCCCCCACAGCCCTCAGAGGTTTCCAGATGCTGATAGTATCTGCTGCTGCATAGCAGTGCCATGGGCATAGTGACCTAGAGTGCTCTGCTTGAACACCTCTGTCTCCTGAGAATGCCTTTCAAGGAAATAAGAGAAGGTCCTCTTAACAGGAATTCAGGTCCCAGTGCTGAGAGCACAGCTCTTCAACAGTGGGAGAGAGGCAAAGATGGGTAGGTGGCTCTTTGTCAGACTGCAGATATGTTGGTGGAAGAGATCAGCTTTCCCCAGCACAACCAGGAGAAAGAAAGGATGTATGAGAGTCTTGGGCCTGTTAGTGGCTACTGTTAATACAGAGATGAATCAAGGTGTGATAATAAATGAACTACAGATCTCAATTACGAGACACCCCTCTTGTATCACTACTTAAAATGTAGAATTGCCAGGTATTGCATGTGTAGTGGGGAGTGGACACTTCTTAACCCCCTTGCATTCTGATTTTTGTAGCTTTTGATTCAAACTAGTGGGAATAATCTACATAGCTGTAATAGTTACTCATCAAAACTCTATAGTTCCCTTAAGGATTAAAATGTGTAATTTAATGCATATATAAGTGTATAATTTAATGTATCACTACAAATATTTATGAAATACATAAGCATGCATTTTTTTCATCTGAAGAAGTTACCAAATACTGGTGAGGGAGCTAATGGTAAAGAGTGTAGTGAACAAAGAAAATGCTATATAACTGAAATCTTGTGAGAATACTGTTGAGAAATTCATTAATTTCTGTGGAGTGTTGCCAGCATACTTTTTCCTTTTGCAGGTGTTCTTTATTATCAGCAGTCTCAAAATATTGCAATTAGAGTATGTCTATTTAATATATACACAGTTTCTGTACAGGAAGGAAGAAAACACCCGATAGATATTAGCTTTTGCACTCAATTTTTTGACTGCCATCCAAGTACCAGTAGGCTTTAAGTCTTACTATCTTTTGAGACTTACTTTAGTAAAAATGTGAATGACTTACATGGCTAACCTTGCTTCCCTTTGAGCAGTTCTGCAGCTCAGCTCTTTGAGGGGCTGATGTTTGTTTCTTTTGTCCCTCAGCAGGTGGCTACAGTTTCACTGAAACAGCTGATCTTGCTGTGGAACAACATCTGTGGCTTTTTGGGGTCACACTGCCTGGAGTAATGCAAATATTTCCTCCTAGGTCTGATCCTTATTTTTGTTTAAAGACATAGTACTAATGTACTGCTTAGCATAGGATTTTGTGTTGCAATTTATACTGAAGGACTGCTGTTATTCAGGCCTGACCTCCATCTTTCACAGCTTCTAAGAAACAGGGGTGTAACCTTCAGGGATTTTTCAGAGCTCAGTAGAAGATACTGAAGGCAACTGAAGTGAAGAACATCAGAAAATCTCTGCTGTGTCAGACCAGTGGACCTTCATACTGGGGATTCTGTCTCTGACAGTGACATTAAGGGATGCTGTAGGGACTATACACAAACCTAGCCATTTTATGAACCTATTCTCTTGTACTCATCCTGCATACTTGATTGTCATATTGTGGATGGTGGCTATATATCTGCTCAGTGATTTTAGAGCCCATTTGTGGACCTGCAAACCAAGAACTTGTCGTTTTCAAACCTGCTGATGCTTTACTATCTTCACAACCTTCTGTGGCAGCAAGTTCCAGAAGCTTACTACTGCCTTTGTAAAGAAGTACTTAATTCTTTATAAACTAATGTTGTGCTAGCTTTGTAAAAGGTCCCTTAGTTCTATTACTAAAGGATTTAGCTTTACATTAGTTTATTTACCCTCTTCATGTTTTGATTGATCATATCTTGTTTCAGTCTTCTTTTCTAACTAAAGAGCTCCTCAAGTCTATTTTTCTAAGGCAGGCACTTCATCCTTTTGATATTTTATTCTCTGACTAGAGTCTGTTCTTGAGATGCAGAGACTGGAAGTACTTGAGACATGGATGGACCAAGGTTGTATAAATGTGCACTGACTTCTTCTCGATGCTTTTCCTCATGGTACCCAATGTTTTGCTAGGGTTTTTCTTGCTGTTGTACATAAGGCTCTGTCAATAATGACTGCTGGATTTTTTTCTCCAGTCATTTGTCATCATGGTGTGTATATGACTGAGATTTTCCATGCAATGTATTAGCCTACATACATCTACATTGAAGCTCATTTGTCATCTTTTTGTCCACTCTGAGTCCTGCTCAGCGCTTCTGGAGCTCTTTGCCATCATGGTGGCATTAGTTCCATGCTCAAAGACAACTTCTTGTCTTTGTCTCAATTTTGCCAACAGTATCTTACCTTATGAGTTTTTTTGCATATATGTCTATGAGGAATAAAAATGTCGTAGCATATAAGACAAGGGTGTTCATAGAGTTAAAAATATTTTGATTGTAACACAGGCTTTGGTTTTTAGCTAGGAGTTTTTTTGTTTTTGTTTTGTTTGTTTGTTGTTTTTTTTAAAACCTCAATAAACTCAGACAGGTTAATGCTGTATCCAGAAATCCAGACCAGAAAAAAGAGAGAGAAAACTCTAAAAAATGCCATTCTTAGCACTTATTCTAACTGCAATGAATGGGGAAGTTAGAGTGGTGATACATAGTATTTGATCCATTTTGAGTGCTGCTAAAATAATTTTTAATTAAAACCAAAGAAGCTTTTAAAAATATTGGAGTGCAAAGTGATTTACTCAAATACCTTTAATGCTTTCCTAGCCTCTCCACAGATTCAATACACAACAGCCTTAACTCCAATGCTATCTAATTAATCACCTTTCATTTGTGAACTACATTTCATAGTAAAATGAAAATAATAACTAAAGCTTTTCTTCTCCTCCCTCCCAGTTGTATTAGAGGTTAGGCTGGAAGCCCGCCATATGGAAAGGATCTCTTCATGTTCCTTGTTCAAAGCCAGGCTAGTCATTCGATACTCAGAGCATGTCGCTTAGAAAAGCTGCTGCACTGCCAACAGCATTGAGAGTGAGGTTTAAAGAAACATCAGAAATGTATTATTAGTGTGCTGTGTTACTACCTAGTGTTACTTAGTAATAAATGGGGTTTCACAGCAGGGCAAGTAATTCCAGCAGGGTGTCTGTAATGATCCTGTTTTCCCTTCTCTCAGTCACAGTAACACCATCCTTCCTAACCCTTTGCAGAACTACTTGCACACGTAAATCTGGCAGAAGACCTCTCCTCCACCCTGGCCACTGACTTAAAAAGCCAAAACAAAACAGAAACCCACTTTCTGCCAGCTTGAATCTGCTTCACAGAGGACCTTATGAAGGCAAGGGAGGACACAGAACTATGAAGGTAAATGCAAGAGGAGGGCAAGATGGTTGAACAGCAGCAGTTAATAAGTGCCTTATGTGCTTGTCAAACTCCAGTCTGAAGTGCTGTTCTGTTTCTTGATTTATTGTTGTTCAAGTACTTGGCAGAAGTACAGGACTATTTCAGTAGGCAGCCTATTGCTTTGTTAATTTAAATATTTAGCTTAAAGAATTACATTTTACTTCCTTTGAAGAAAGGCCCCAGCTGTTCTACTACCCATTTATGAGGTCATCTGCTGTGTAAATCTGGTTGTCTAAAAGACTGTTACCAACTGTAGTTGGTTGCAGCAATAGAATTCTTCTTTCATTTTGTTTCACACTATAATACAGTTCATCAGAACAGCTTTTTCAAATTAGCATGTATTGAAGTACATGTCAAATATATTTCTACTACTTGATTGTTGTTATGGGTGGTTTAAAGTTATATTCCTGATCTAATGGATGCTGTTTGCTGAATCTGTAGCAATTAAAACAAGGCAGTTTCCTAAGGAAAAAAGTTTTGGTGTATTCCATTTGCATGGTGTGCTTGAAACCTACCCAGTGCTACTTCATGACAAGCATGTCCATGTGTACAAGTAGCTGCAAAGTCAAAACAGCCTTCTGTTGGCTGATGCAGCTCAAAATTAGTTTAGTGTGGCCCAGTGAGCTCATGGTAGCCTGCAAAGATGTCACGGACGGACATGAACACTGTCAGCCTGCAGAGTCTTTTTCCCCAGTACTTACAGGCCACAGTAGTGATAATTGCTGAAGCTGTGCTGAATACATTTGGCAGCAGTGATAGAGCAGTGCCACATGTGCTGCTTATCTGCCTTAAACAGACTAGCATTTCAAAAAGTGGAACTTGTGTTCCATTGTTCAATTGTGACAATATCTTCTTGTGTTAAGATGTGCGCAGTCATTCATCTAACATTTTTATAAGATACTTCAGAATCATTAGCCAAATTTTACTATGTTCTTCCCTAAAAAAATACTCAGATGTAGGTATGATGGTACATGTAAATGAAGCCACACCATTGTGGGCATCCAAAAAATATTCTAAGTTAATTTCTTTTAGGTATGCTTTTTAAGAAGATACATTAAAACTCAATAATTCATAAGGTCTGTTAGGCAGCTAGTAAGAGTGGCATTAGTACAGTGATAGCATTGTACTATAAAAATCTGTTATATTGATGTTTACCCAGAGCTTTCAGCATTTGCAAGATTTTTCCGTGTAGAAAAATAATACATTTAACTTGGATTTCAGACTTTGTAGTAAAGCCACTGTTCTTTCATCTTGCCAAGCTTTTGAGTATGCTAGATTTTTGTTAAAAGACTACAGAAAATGCACCTTAGCTCAAATATAATCATAAACTAAATTTTGTTATATGTAGTTTATACTGTATTTGCTTAACATAACCTAGGTAGTAACAGAGCACTGCTAAAAGTTAGCTAAAAGATTCAAATATATGAGGGTTTCATCACAAGAATTAAACTTGAAATGTAAGTTTCTTACCAAGTTAGTGGTAACTAGTTCATGTTGAGTCTGATGTCTCTAATTTACTTGCTCAGGATTCACCTCTACCCAGTCAGTTTGTTAAGAGCTCATTACTTTTGCTCTGAAATACTTTTACACAAATATTTTGCTGTGTTGCAGCTAAGGTGGAAAAATATTTTGTAAACCTTTTGGGCTCAGGCGGTTTTGACTGCATGTGACCTGATATTTTGGAACTATTCAGAATTACTGTTAATGCGGTTCTTTCTATCAAGGTCACAGTAAAGGTTCTGTGTGGTTTTTCCAACTTTTAGAGATGTACCCAAACTTCTTAAGGGTTTTTTTCCCATGTTTCAGACTATAAATGTTTATATTATTGGGCCATGGTTCTACTGACACAACATGCAGTTGTTTGAAAGTAATTTTTAGTCATGGTTTTAACAACATGACTTCAAGCAGCTGAATTAACAATACTACCTGATTTTACATGTTGAAAAGCATTTTGTAATTCTCTTATAGACAAAGCATATGTGTCAGGTAGAACAAAGCAATTACCATCTCGTATGTTGAAACATACTCTGATTAAAAAGTATGATGATTAATACCAGAAATCAGTTTTGGTATCAGTTCTAGTACAAACACTTTCAGTAAAGAAACAGTCTTTGAGACTAAGTTATCTGTAGAACATGTTAAGAAGATTGTACTGAGTACAGCACACACATGGTGTCAGATTTGGCTCCTGGATTCCCTGCTGCTGTGAACACCAGAGCAGATTTGCTTGGGCCAGAGATAATCAAAGGATGTGGTGGATCTGTTTCAGTCACATTATGGACATGGTATGGTCAGAACTAGTTGGTTCCTGCCTGTAGAAAGCAAGTGGGTGAGCGGGATGAGATCTGCCGGATCTGCCAGGAAGTATTTTTAGGTGCAGGGACATACATGGGTACCTGGTGGCACTTGTACTTGCCTGGGTGGATGAAGTTCAAGGACACTCCAGCTCGGTCCCCTGGTTGAGCCTTTGCCAGTGGCACCACAGTTGTGTGAGGACACTACAGACTCAAGTGGCTGTTAACTGGCTTTGTGACAGCCTACTCCTCTTGTAGAATCTCACACATTCAAGAGCTTGGCCTAGCAGTTCTAAAGAGATGATAAAGATGCTGACCAGAAGTTTAGTTTCAACATTTCTCATTCCAAAAATAATCTAAATATACTGTATATATGTATTTATGCATGTCTACATTGTTAATCTGTTATGTGTACTACCTCAGAATTCTGTAACTGCTTCCCTTTTGTATGTGTTGTTCTTATGTGCCAGTATTTCATAACTCACTGGATGACATCTTTGCCTGATTTGTCAAGAAGGGCATGGTATTAGTATCTCTTCTTTGTTATCTGATGGACTATTTTAATGGAAGAAAATAAAGCAATTTATATGACTTTCATATATTTTCATGGTTGAAAAATAAAACAGTTATCTTTTGAAGCTGATATTCACATATTTCATATGTAAACCATAAAGATTGTTGTAATCTTGACTTCTTTTGCTATACATTAGCTAGATAAGAATGTTAATGTTTGATGTATAAGTACCAGGTTATCTCACGGGATATTAAAATTTTTGAGGTTTTTCTGTCTTAGGAGACAAAGACTTATAGTATTTTAGCAGTTAGAATATATGGTAATATGAAAAATAACTGAAAGAGCCATAGAAATGGCATGGAGTTTAGAAAGTAATGGAGCCCAGATTGGTTAAATTGAGGACTTAAAACTGGAAGACTGTTTCTTTCTTTAACTCGTAAAACTTAGACTAGAAATTTTTCAATGAAATGCAATGAGATGCTTAAAGTCAAATAGATTTTCTGACTCTGTAATTAATACAGTTATATTGTAATGAAAATGCAGGAGGTGTTCCCTGTGAAACACAGCACTAATATTTCATGTATAACCAATATGGAAGTGATTAAATTGTTTTACAAGCAAAGGTTGGTAGCATGGTAACAAGAAACATTATAAGCTAATACTGCCTCTATCTGAAGATGTATTGTTTTGTGGTAATGAAATATTGTAATAACCTTGCACACCTGTAGAGAAGAACCTCAACTATAACTCTCTGGAGTTATTCTCCAAACAGTATATAATATTTTTCTGTATTTATATATTTATAAATATCTTTATTTCCTATTTATATATAAAATATAATAATTATTCTAAGCAGAACTGTAAGAATGAAATGACCATATTAAATGTTAACAAATGCATAAAAGGTGGGCTAATGTATAAGTATGCAGGTAGAGATATAATATTTTTTCAAAAGTAAAAATAGTTGATTGCCAAGGGTGTTTCACATTAATGTCCTTATCCAAAACCCACTAGACTAAGTAAAGTGATCTCTAGCACCTCAGTTAAATTCAGTCAGTCTTAAGTTCCTTCCCCTCTTCCATAAGAATGAAAAGCCAGGACTTTGTTGAATTTCAGTGAATCCAGGATTTATACTTTCCTTTTCTACAAAAACTGTAGCCTGGGACTTTATCAGGATAGTATCTATACTGAATTTGCTCTTTCAGTATTTGTTTACTGTCAGGAACACCTTGCTCAATTTTTGCACTATATTTGTTCTGGAAATAATGAGAGAGATAAAGTGAAAACTGTGTGAGTTTGGGTGAAAAATTTAAGTTGGCAATTTAATATTAAATTTGACATGGATTTTAAGGTTTTAAAGGAGAATTGAAATAAAATGGTATGCTCTGTTTTATAAGGATGGTTTGAGCATTGCTAGAAAGTTTTTATTTTATTTTTTGGTTTTCAGTTTTTGCAAAACTGTTATTTTTTCTTTTCTGATCCAGCTAGATTTTCATACATAGGAAGGCATGTTACATCCATATGTTCTTTGGTCCTTTAAAATATATAACATTTTCGTCATCTGGGGCATTCATATAACCCAATTATTTCTTGTTATGGGGAAATTCAGAACTGAAAAAGCTTTTACCTACAGATTTTTGTGCTTGTTAGCTTAAAAGGGAAACAGCCTGCCCCCTCTTCTTCCTACATTATATAGTGGTATGACAATAGTTCTTTTAATTAGGTCATTAAGATATATAGAGAAGACCTGACTTGGAAGACCTAAATTACATAAATGTCACAGAAAAGTCAATAGGATGTTAGTTCACGAAATGAGAATCTCGCTAAACAAAAGACTGTACTGCTACTAATAGAAGTTTGCACCAAGGTTGATTCATAACACACTACCAGCTATACTGCATAGGATCTCTGATGGAAATGCGGTTTGAACTCCAATGTTCACTCAGTATGGAAGTGATGAATACATGGTTCTAATAGAAATGCTATTTCTTCTGCAAGGTAGTTATCCAGTGACTGAAGATGAGTACTTTGGTTCAGGAATTGGGCATGACAATTAGCAGTGTTCTAACTAGGATTTACTTCAATGGCATTTTATTAAATATGCCAATTTCTGTATGGTGTTTGACTGCAGGTGGTGGGGACACAGGACTTTT